ATGACATGATGAAATCTATATGGATTATATTATAGTGGCATGATACTGGGCATTATACCATCCTTTTTATATTTACTCTTTATTGGAGAAATGAAATTTTAATGGAGAAATGCTAGGGAAATCATCTTGTAATGCATCGTGCATCTGCTTAAACTTGAACACTGCATTTTTGGGCTTTGCTGTGCTATTAGTCTAACAAAATATCGAAATTAATGATTCCTTATATATGATTATATTCCATCTTTATGAAAGTAACGATACTATTGTGCCCATTTTCTTATGTTTTGCTGTCAATATAGTGATTAATTGACGAATCTTCGATTCAGCTGGTATGTCAAATTGATTGGGATATCTTTTAATAAGTTCTTCCCTCATCCTCCTGCATCTAAAACATTTCAAATATGTTTAATTGCTACATCGTTTGACTTTTAAAAGCTAACTTCTCCATCTTAGCTCTCATGGTCACGGGTCTGGTCCAGCGACCTTGACCTCGAAAATGGTGCCAAACGTCTCCTTTTAGTCTAACCAAACCTTTCCGGCATGGCTCTTTTTTTATATATATATCCACATCAAGATGTCGGGCTGGTTCGTGTGGCAGATGTTAAAATACTTTATATGACTTCCGTAACAACATAACTTTTATTTAGCAAAATTTTAATATCCAGAATGTTATTTGTTTAAGTACATAAGTATATATATAGATAGATTCAAGTTTGGGTGAGAATAGTATTTTGTAATCTAACTCAACTAGAATAATTCTTCATGCTTTTCCATTTCAGATAAACATTGCAAAGGTAGTTCAAGCAAAGCTTCGATTAAATTATATGTCATGTTCTAAGTATATTTTTCAAACCCTTGTTTTAGGCCAAGATGTTGCTTTCTTAGAAACCGAAAGCATAAAAAGTGAAAATATTAACGGTCACCAACAGGCTAGCAAGACAAAAGAAAACACTGGTAAGTTAGATGTACAAGATTTTCTTCATATATTTTTTAGTAGCTTTAGATAATTCAGATGAGTTAAAAATAATTAATTACAATACTGTATTTCAATGAATAAATCTACAATATTAGATACAGCCATGTAGTTTAATCAGTTCATGCATTGAGAAAACTTAACACTATAACGTTCTTCCAGCAAAAAACCGGCATGTAAAAGCAGATACATTTATATCTATATACAATATATAATGTTGTGTAAATGCCAATAACCAAACTGTGAGATAAACTAGGTCCAGCCCCCTACATATCCTTTTGCTGGTTTATTATTTATTTGTTTCACAGTTTTTGTGCTAAATGTCCCCAATTTAAAAATTATGGGCTAGAGGTCCGGCAGCTAAACAACATCTCTCATCGTCAATGCTTTTTTCTGACCGAGTAATGGAATTTGACCATTACTCTTTTAGCACATCCATGGCCCCAAAATCTGAAGCGCGGTTTTTTTGGCAAATGATCGCGAATCGTGAACCCTTGGATTCACAGTCCATACACTCTAACCACGAGGCTATGTTTGGCCCTATCCCTTTATAAGAAATAATAATCCATGTTAAAATAAAATACGCCATAAATCATGTTTCATTTATATGCAACTGATATTCTAGTTTGTATATTCAACCTGAAAGGTCCTCATTTGACAGATAAAAACCCCTTGGATTCAAGTATTGCTAAATTTGATTTATAACTGTTGACAAGAGAGAAAACAACCTGCTAGCAACATCCGCCGCCTATTCAGTTATTCTTAACAGAATTGTTGGGTTGACTGTCACAGTTATAAGTTCCCACAGCTGAATGAAAAACTCGAACATTAGACTTTCCGATCCGCATCTTCACATGCTAACCTCTGAACCACGCTATACAGTAGATACCTTTAATGTAATCTAATATCAACTGTTCCTGACCTTGGATTTGTCTCTCACTTACATCTTAATGTCGTAGATGTTTTATGATTGTTATAAATAGAAGAATGAAAATATAAAAGCTAAAATAGTTGAAAAAGTGTGTTAATACAATCTGGTTAGTTCTCATTTCAAATCAAACTTTTAAGAAAATATATTTTCAATCAATTTATACTTAACTCTTTGTATGGTAATAATTATTAATCAAACTTTCAAATAAGGATTACGGACTTAACAATTTATTGATTTAACAAGTATTCCAGCTCTACATGCGTTATGCTTTGTCATTCTAATAGTTTCTTGAATTTCTAAAATGTTATATAAGAGCTTTAAGAATTGGCAAAATGTGCAGCAGGTACTCATTTCGTTCAATTGTAGAACAAATGTGTAAGACAAATTATAGGGGGAAACTTTTCTTGTTGCTTGTACTTGTTTACTGCACACCCTAAGTATTTTAAAGTTGTTTTTACTTATAGGCATACACGCGGAACATTTAAGTTGTCGACTTAAAGAAAGAGAAATTTTCCATAAAGTTTCGTTTTGTCTCTGGACTACAATTATACAACTTCGTAATTTCATACTTCACGATATGTAATTCCTCTGAAACCTGGTAAAGAAGTGAAACATTTATGTAACCATAAGTTTATGAAAATGTTTCTTGAAGCTCATATATATTTATTATATAGCATATTGGATTAGGAGAAATATAGATATGTTCAGCAATAATATATATATATATATATCTATATATATTAATTTTCCTATCTCGGTACCAGCCATTGAAAATAACAAAGTTCTGGCTAATTGGAAACAAACCCAAGAAATGAATCAGGAACCGAATGAACAAAAACCTCACAGTTGGACTAAAACTGATGTAGATATTCCATTGTTAGGAATCCACAAAACAAACGTAGATAACAGTGATGATTCTGACAAATACGGACCAAACGAGAAGCAGAAGAAAGACACAGTTAACTGGAAATTACCAGGAGCAGGGGACACTAACAGTAATGTAATTGAATACTTTTCTTTTTTATATCTAAAATTATTTTAAATGTGTCTTTACGAACTAGATACTTAAATGAGTAGTTATAAATGAAATAATGTCTTTTTCTTGTCAATCTTTTCAAGAGTTCCACCTAAACATTTAGAAAAAAAACTATAACTTTTATTGTTTTGGTATAGTCAAGAAACAGAAGTATAACACCTTTCAAAAACGTATATGTAATGATTTTCACGTCGTAACAATAAGGACAATCCTTTTGTTTGGTTCACAATAAAGATGATTCCCAAGCTATTAATAAAATACAGGAATCTGTATGGCCTATTATAATTATAAAGCTTCCTTCTCTGTGCATATAACTGTTTGGAGATCTAATGTAAAGAAATTTAAATAGGGCATAAAAAATCCAAAACTGTTTGATTTGTGGTTTGTATGTAAACGTTGAGAAACATTTTAAAATACATAACTACTGTCACTGAACTTTATAGAAAATTAGTTTTCTTTGTTACACTTATAATATCATGCACAAATTAGTTTAATTTAGAAACACAAAAGAATTTCAATCCAAAGCAAATTATTTCAATGTTGTGATTTAAACTTATACTGAGTGCATTTTAGTATAGGATATTTAATTCTACAGAATGTGAACAATAAATGTGCCCTAATGTGAGAGTTAAATAGGCATTTTAGTATAGGATATTTAATTCTACAGAATGTGAACAATAAATGTGCCCTAATGTGAGAGTTAAATCTACCCTAGCATAAGACCCTCACTGCAATAGGGATGTACTGATCTTTAAATTTATGAATACATGTATTTATATTGTACAATTAACTATCATCGTAAAACACTTTTAGAGTAAAAATTCCATTTTTCGAGAAGAGAGTGCAGGTTCATAGTGTACCTAGAGAGTAATGTAATGTCACTTGATTTTAATGTATTCATTTCGAACATGTTGTTGTGGCATGCGTAAATTTCGTTTTCCAAATAAAGTACTTGGAACACTAGCATCATTTACATGTTAAAGTGTAATAATCACTATTTTAAAATCAAATGTGTCAATTGTAAGAAAATCTGGAATCCAAAGAAGAGAATAAGTCTATATGTTTGTCCTTACATTTCGTTTCACAGGATTATGACACCAAGTTTTCAGGTCTCCAATATTCTCCTGAGGACCTCGCAGACTACATCCTGAGAACGGATGATGAAAAAGGTGTGGCAATGGCTATCGAAGAATTACTAACAGAAGGATTGGTAAGTATTATTTATTACCTCCGACACCGTAGGTAGACAGAAGTTATATTTTCACTTCTGTGTGTGTGTGTGTTTGTCAAAAACGACTGAATGGATGCAGACGAACGTTAGTATACATTTGGACTATGACCCAACTTAGAAGTGATTAGTTCCTAGAGGGCGAAGGTCACAGCAAGGTCACGAAAATCTAAAACATCTCTATCTGTTAACATGGAGACCAATTTTTCACACTACTTTTGCTCTAAATTCAGTCAAAAATGATATAATTTTGGTGAAACTTGGTGGACCTATGTAGATGATCATTCCTCATTGTCCTGCCCAAAAATGGTCTGTGTCCGTTGATAACGACGGACATATTAACACATGTTAGTATTTTTTTGATAGCCGAATATGATCAACGCTGCGTGGTTGAGGTATGCGCTCTACTGAGTACCTTTTAGTTTTAAATGTGAATGATTTAAGATAAATAATTAATTAAGAACGTCATTGTAACCCGTTATATTTATAATTAACTTAATTATGTTCCCAAGTAGTAGCAAATGGCAAAATGTTCATTGCACAATATTGGTGTTACAAAATTGTTTTATAAATAAAGATCGCGTTTAATGGCTTAGAACATTGCATATGAACTCAACAATAACAGTGATTGTTAAACCAAAGACTACTAGGAAGAAAGATAGCTGGAAGTCTAAATTCTAAAAGATTATAATGCAATATCGACTATCTAGTTTAAGGTTCCCAAATTATGATTTTACGATTTCAAAGAATTCAACCATTTGCTATGAAAATGGACTATTTTCTAGGTTTTATTTCTGCCTTTTTGTAACACTTAAAACATAATAATAACCAAAGATTTGTTATAACTATATGGGCTGTTATCTTACTTACAGATTGAAAAAAGATTTTATTTATAACGTATGATTTTCTAGTGTGTTTTGAGGCGAAAACTTATCAGTTGAAGTTTGTAACGGCGTTCTTAAATACATAGGAAACTAGCATAAGATGTATAATCCTTCTCTAAAATTATTAATGTTTTTAATGAACCAGAAAAACTTTTGTATCTCACACCAAGAAAGTTGAAAGAAATCAAATCTGCAAAGACAATGTGAGAAGGTAAATTTCCCAGCCTTAAGATTTTAGTTGTTCTTGAGGGAAAAAACCATTGCTTAAATTAGGTATTTAGTATTTACTTTACGTTCTGATATAGTTTCATGACAAAAAAAAAATAAAGATTTCAGAGTCTATAAAATTCTATTTAGTCATTACAACATTATTATACATGTGGCTTATAGATGACCAGGGAGCAGGCAATTGCCTATCTTCAAGAAGTGAAGACAGAATTAAACTACATGAGAGAGCAATACGAGCAAGCACATCGTCTGGAAGAGATGGCTGAAGAAAAGGAAATAAAAAGAGGTCAACAGGAAGCTATTCAGGCAGGTTTTAGTTATAGGATAAAATATGTTTATCAATTTATATTAAGATAGCATAAACATTTCCAAAATAATAAAGGCATAAAAATTATGCTTCTTATGTTAAATTACAAAATAAATAACAGGTAAAATAAGCTTATTTTAAAGAATGTATTCCCACCAAAATTCGCTGAAATAATAAACAAATAATATTTTCTAGTGACAACCAATTTATTGACAAAATGATAAGGAATTCGTACTTCCCATTCCTCCAATAAGAAACACAGTTTAAGCCCCATATACCTAACTGCACATTTAATGAACGTCAATATTAATCTGGGAGATCGAATGGTGGGTTGTGAAAATATAAGTAACCAATTTCTAAAATACTTCGAATAATTACTGCTATGGCCTGATACTAATAAAATATTTAACTTCAATTCGTAGTTTTGGGGGATGTGTCGACAAGGCGAGTCATTGAGAGTTAAGTTGCAAACCACTTATTTTTATATGTTAAATATATTTAGTGAAAACAAATATGTACCAAAACTACTAATTTTGCAAAAAAATATTAGCCATAATGATACTAAAGAATGCAAAATATAGGATAAAAAGTCAAATTGAGCCATAGGAGGAGTTTATGTTAAATATGAAATGTAATCCTGAATTTTTGTTTGATCTTAAGCACAGCCCCCAGTGGAACAGCGGTATGTCTGC